CATTCCCCTCAATAAGATCTATCCACCTATAAAGTTCATGTTGACATCTCAAATACTTTTTAAGTTATGCTCAAATGAAACATTAATTATGAAAAATTACCAAGGGCAATAACTCAAAAAGGGTTATGAAGAGTAGAGTTATCATTTTTTGTGCACTGCACACCTCCTGAGTAAGATCTATTCACATATGAAGTTTCATATTGATATCTGAAAGGCTTTTTGAGTTATGCTCTGGACAAAAATTCAGTTTGAAGAATTACAAAGGGCAATAACTAAAAAAATATGCAAGGAAGAGTTATTAGTCTTGTGCACTGCAGTCCTGTCCTCCTCAGTACGATGTATCTACCTATGAAGTTTCAAGTTGATTCCTCAAATACTTTTTGAGATATGCTCCGGACAAAAATGTCGGACGGAAGGACGGAGGGACGGACGGACGGAGACTACGCCGCCTTTCGGCGGGGGATAATAATGATCCTTCAGATACACGCCAGAACAGTACACTCTTGATTTTCTATACTAAAAGCAACTCGAGTCACCACATCTCGTTGTTTTAACAAGCGCTGGTGGATTGTACTTATTTGAAGATTTGAAATTCCCAAACTGCTTTATAATTCTATGCCGTAATTTGATCCTACATCAGTTATTTGATGTTGAACATGTTCCTTGAGCTTCGTATTCTGTATAAACACATTGTTCTTGTGAAGACTGAAAGCAGTAATGCTTATAAACATCACAACAGTCATCATGTATTAACCATATATTGTCGCAATAGCATGTAGATGATGAATTTGCAAGAAATATATCATCAGCAAAACCAGCTGGACAGCAGCTTGATAAACTAAAACATAGGGGTAGTAGAAAACAGTTGATTTAATATCTTTCATGATTATAAGTCATATTGGTTTGTTGAATGTTGTCTTAAATACTAAAATCGTTACACAATTTTATTGATTTTTTCAATGAGTTTCATTGTGTTATTGAATAACTGAGTACTTTCTTCTTGGCTTTCATACAAATCGTCAAGCATCTTAGGGCTGATATCGTGAAATTTTACTTCATCATCGCATTTGTTCAAATAGTCTTCAAGGGCCTTCAGTGATGAAAGAGTGTATTTCATCATCAAACGACAATGAATTGATACATAGTCACCAAGAAGAAGTGCATTGCATTTTCGATCTGAGTTGGTCATGATATCAAAATATGTTACAGGAAACATGTGTTCCAATTTTGAATTGCCATAATAACCATCATAATTTTCACCAACGCTGCCAAGAATATCTGATTTGGACATATCAGTAAATTTAATTAGAGGTCAAATGCTACAGTCCAAAATTGGTATGTAAATACATTTTTTCAAGTCGTGAATGATTCGTTGATTTTGTCAATGAGTTTTCTACATCGTTCAAACGTTAGCGAAGTTTCATTTTGATAATCATATGCATATATTTCATATATCACAGCAAAACTAATTCCATGGCGTTTATTGTCTGAACAGCAGTCCTCTAAAAGCTCTTCTAGTGCTGTCAATGATGAATTGTTCCTTGCTATACCAAACTGAAGGCAGCTTTTTGTGGTTTCATCCACGTTATAAAACTTCATAGTTTGAAAGTATTGTTTTTGCTGACCATGCTAATTTAGAGATAGAACAAATATGTCATTTGCTTAGGATTCTAGTCCCATAAATTTAAGACACGATAGGCTTAGCAACTCCACTCACAGACATTAAACATTACGCCGAATGTTCAGCTACAAAATCTATATATTTAAAGTGAAGATCGTCATGTCTTTTTCAGACAGACACCTTCGAATTTTTCTTTGTATTTATGATGTCTAAGGAACCGACCGTCAAAAACTATTTTTCCATGTCGAAGGAATTTTGAATACACAAGTTTTTCATGTTTTTGGCATCAATTCTTTCATGTTGGAGTCGTATGACAGAAATACATTTTTCGACTTAGGTAAAGACAATAAACAGTCGATGCATCGTATATAATTATTATTTCGTGACTAACTTTAACGTGATATATACGACAACTCCAAGTCATCACCAACGGGTTTAGATATTGGAAAAAAAATTGACTATCGCATTTTTAAGTCTATACACGAATTCTTTGCAGACACTTCGGTAAAACTTGATCCTAAACAGGCTAGGTGTGTATTCGCTAATGCTTTAAACGCAATACACATACTTTCAAAACAATCCGAGTTTTTACTTCAAATGACTGAGTTATACATGGATAGTTGTAAAAGAAACAGGCTCACGTTGAAAGTGTATGCTGACTGCTTTGAGAAAGAAATAAATCAGTTTTTCCGTTTAAATGAACCAAAACCAGAATTTGAAGCAATGGTCAGATATTTGTTAGAAAGAGTGAACTCTTGTCTGAAACCGAAAGATATTGATCATTTTGAGAAATTAAACTTAAACAAGCAGCCAGACTTAGAAGCATTCATTGCTATCTTGTCGTTGCTGGAACAAAACAAATTATCACCTTCACGTCAAGAACATTTGCAGCAAGTAGTAAAATCAATGAACATATGCATCGACAGTTGTATCAAAGAAGTTGTCGGTTACCTTGAAAGGTTTTGTGTTTGGATCAATAATATAAAAGATCACATTTCAAATTCAGAATCTTTTATTAATGAACTACAATTTGCTTTACAAGAACTGAACAATAGAATTGTAAACGAAATCATTGCAATTTCAAAATGATTTGTCAGAATAAATTTTTGATCTTCTTCTTAACGACTGGTTGGTTGAAAAATCAAAATGTTCATACTGGTTTTATACCTTGAAAATCAAAGCGACTTCTGTCAGAAGTGCAAATTTTTTCACTATATTCATGAAAAGGCTAATAAAAAATATCACTGATACTGCTTAAAGTCCCCTATTGTTAAACTTGTGATGACAAGCAAGCGTAAAATGAGGCATGATGAGAGATTTTGTGAGTCGTCGGTACTTAGAATCGAATTGTAATGCAAAGAGCTGTACAAGAAGTATTTATCAGCTCGACTAACTTAATAGAAACATTCTTGCCTTTTAAAGAAACTTCACTTTTGGCAAAACCAGAATTTTATCCAAGGATAAAACATTATTGTTATTTAGCAACCTTTAATTGACAGATCATCAACAAGAACCTGAGCAAAACTGTTAGATAGGAAATTCCAACTGTCCATCTGAATAAACTGAATACCAGTATGTTCATAAAGAACAGAATCATCTCATTATCAACTTGTTTAAAAGGAAAATACTTCTTGTCAGAATAAGCATCTGCATCAACTGGAGCAGCAATATTTGGCCTAACAACAGACAAATCGTTTTCCGCAAAACAAAACATTAGGATTCGATCCGTCCTGCTGAACGCCTAACAAAATCCTTATCGATGCAATGTCGATGGCAGACAGCTTCGAAATATCTTAAAGTGGTCTGTCCGAACACACTCTTGTCTACCACGTATAATGTTGACTTTCGAATAAAATGCCAAATGGTGCAAGTCATTCTTTAATGGTGCTATTAACATTTACAGAGTAGGTTGCGTTGAATTGTGACCTTTAAAATGTAAAACAAGTTATAAGACCTTCATTTTCTTAAATAAAAATGAATGTGTATGGTTATGAATTGCAAGATTTAAATTTAAAGTTTCCGTTTCGGGACAGACTTCGGGCAATTTGAGCTTGTTTTCCAAAAGAATGACCAGCGTCAGTTAGGTCAACCCAAGCCTAGTTAGAAATGAAACAATGAACAAGAAACAAAGTTCCACACCCTGACAAGATTTTAAACCAGTTTAGAAATGTTTATAGATAACTATTCGAGGATCATTGCTTGTAGAGTTTCATCAAAATTTACCAAATAATAAGGGAGAATATCTCGTTGAAATGTTATTCTTTTTTATAGCTCTGATGGTCATTTTTGCAATTTTACCCGATGTTTGATTCTGTACAGTTTCATCAAAATATATTGGCAAAAGTAAAACTTAGTTTTAACATCACTTAAAGATTACAAACCCTACTGGAAATTGTAAATTTGTAATCATTTGGTTTGCTTCTGACCTTTTTCTTATAACTATATTGGAAATCCGTGTTCCAAGTGTAACACCCTCGTGTAGGATGTGAGAGGTCTAGGGTTCAAATACAAGTCACGCCAACTGATTTTTTTTCAGAGTCGTTTTAGCGATTTTAACATTTTATTTAAAGGTATACAAAGACAAAGTATGGCTCTCATAAAATGTACATACATGATATTTTAATGCAAGTTAGAAACTCTGGTCATGCAAAATTATGTATCAAACTCAAACTGTTATAACAAAAACTCTTGATGGTAAAAGTGTTTTATACTTTTCAAACTTGTTTATATATATATATATATGAAGATATGTTTGATTTAAGTTTTATTAGATTTCCTACACACGAACACGAGCATTTATCTAAGATGCAGAAAGTCACAATGAATTCTTGTTACTTACAATCACTATGTAAATTGTATAGGTCCTAAATGAAAACAAAGACGTGGATTATCTTTCTTCAAAAACATGTTTCATATGAAAAATGATTCCTCCAAACATGCCATTGTGATTGAAATTTGAGCTAAAATTCAAAGATGGGACGTGGCACTAAAAAAGATAAAAATAAAAAAATCGGATGGTGATTGATTTTTATATTTGAATAAATAAATGTCTAATTCTATTTATGTAAGAAAAACGTATTCTTAAAGGGAACCTTTACGGTCCGTAATCCTTAAGAAAAATAGCTTAAACTTGTTAAAGTTGCTAAGGGCATTGTACCTGGTCAACAGACGACACCAATTGATTTTGATGTACATTGTAATTTAGTCAAGGTCAGAGTGACTATTGATCAAAATCTCGTCTTGTTAATAACAAGTTTCTTTCATTTAAGGTATGTGAAACACAATTCAAAATTAATTCTATCATTATAGGTGTATATGTTATATAAATTGACAAAACATAATCCTCTATGGGAATATTTGTAACTTGTTTTTCTTTCAGTTTGAGAAAAACAATGGAAGGTCGAACGGAGGAATCGACTCCCAGTGCGGAAGCTCAAGCGAGTGCCGACAATATTTTTAAAAAAGGAAAGGTATCAATATTCTGTTTCAATTGAATAATATAATGCAATGCTCATTAATTGATTTATCGAACTTTGATATGATTATTAGTATGATGTTTCCTACATGTCAGCTTATGCAGGAAAAGACTGACAGTAATAAAGAAACTCCATGTCGCTAGCAATGATTGAAACAAGATTCTCACATTGATATCAAACGTTTGAAAATAGGGGAAGTTTTCGGCATCAAATTTTGAATACTGTAAAGTCGACAAACACATTGAATGGTTATCCGAGCATACAAAATAATTCTTGTATTTTACTGGGGATAACGAAAGATTTTAACCTCATCTGGCTGACCCAACGCAATTGTTAACTTTTTACTACACCGTGTGCAGGTTGGACATCCAACAAAACATCAGAAATTATATTGAGTTGTACGATCAAAGTGCTGTGAACGTAATTTCAATTTAATACGTAACATGCAAATCTTGTACAAGCGTATATATCATGAAATTGCAAAAATAATGTTGAAATAAGGCTAATAAATGCAAAAGAATGACAAAAATCATGATTGTCAGATGAAAAACTTCATTTCATTTATTGCTTTTCATACATATTAATTATGTTGCTTAATACAATGAGGAAAGGCAATACTTAGTTTATATCGCACATTAGTTTAATTTTCAGTATTATATTTTATTATTTTCATGTACGTTACAAGACTTTTAACGACCCTATTCATGGGCAAGTGGAGCTACATCCTGTGTGTATCCGTATTATAGACACGCCTCAGTTCCAGCGATTGAGACACATCAAACAACTAGACACCTGTTACCTGGTGTACCCAGGTGCCAGTCATAACAGGTTCGAGCACTCTATAGGGTAAGCGATATATCTACAGGCACTTTTCAGATCAATATGTATTTGAATAGTTTGATACCGGGTATTTTTACACTGTACTCAATAATGCATTAATCGAAGAAAGAGAAAGCCAAATAGGCATTATTTATATGTCTGTGAAAATGAACATGCACCACAAAATTTGAAAGGTAAATAAATTCAAACCCCTCATACGCAAATGTTGCATAAGCATTATCTACAATTTAGATGAAAATGTATCATTATAGGGTATGCTATCTAGCAGGAAAATTATTAAAAACAATTCGAGACAGACAACCGGAAGAGAAAATATCTGATAAAGACATTCTGTGTGTCGAGATAGCTGGACTCTGTCACGATTTAGGTAAGATAGGGACACAATGTCTTTAATTTTAACACTACGAACGATTTGTTCACACAATGTTAGGCATGTAATCCTGCACAAATCAAAATATTTATTACAGAATATGATAACTACAATACTTAACCAGATAAGGTCAAAATATTACCCCAAATCTGTTTTTTGTAAAAAATATATTCTAATGCACTTAATTGCTTGAAACTTTGTATTTAACAATTTAAAATGGTGTATTCGAACATGCGTGCAAACAAGTCCATCGTTCTGAAATATTGTGAATAAAGGGAAAAATGTTGACATATGATTTTCAATTAACAACATTTTAGGTCAAGGACCCTTTTCTCACGTTTTTGAAAAAAGATTTATGCCAAAAATGAAAAAGAAGTTTACGGTGAGTCAGTAATATATAGACAAAACTTACTTTCTTTTTCCTATGTTACGAAAAAGCAGTTTGTAAATTTATTACGTTGCATAAACCTTGATATCGCCAAAATGGTTGCAATAACGGATGTTATAATAGTTATAATTAATTGTTACTAACTTGAAATTAAAGCAAAAACTTCATGTTTAGAAGTACTTTTAATTAAATTGTCACATGATGTGTTTGCACAAGTCGATGAACAGTAAAACAGTAAAGGCAAATTGATTCTATACGTAAATTTTCAGCATGAAAATATTGCTCGGAAGATGTTTGAGTACATGCTAAGTAGCGAAAACGGAAAGTTGAAAAAGGATATACAAGAGCTTTGTCCTTTCATAGAAGACGACTTTACCTTTATCTGTGAAATGATTGATGATCCAAAAGACATTGAAAAACACGTAAGAAACACGGCTTTGAAAGTAAATTCAAGTTTAGAATATTGAATATATATTTTGATAATGTAGAATAACAACTTCAGTTAACAAATGTTTTTTTGAAGTAATAAAAGCAACAAAATGAGGTTAACAAAATGTTGCATAAATGACAACCATTATATTTTACTAAAGATACACAGTGTGCATGTTAAAATATTAAAGTAGAACGTCATCAGAGGAACAAAGATAAACAGTTTATCACCGAAATATCCAATATATTTGCTATGATTAGCAAGTTATATTGACTTATCCATTCTAAGCAGGATTGTAAATACTCGTATGTTTTTGGATTATGTGAACCACTCTCAAGTACGCTTCCGACAGTTTTGTTATCATGTATGTTAGGAAATATACCAACTTGAGCTCGGACCTACGGTCTCTGGGTTGAGATCTAGACGTCTTCAACAATATCTGCCCATTTTGCTTACTATTGTGTTCTTCCTTTTCTTCACTGTTATGTACATATGTCTTGTGTGCCGTAAATATTGTGAAATTGTTAATCTTAAAGAGGAAATTTTTATACCGCAATATTTGAATATTTCATAAATGTGTTTTGTTTGCTTTCTTTGTGACACAATTGGTTGATAATAGTATATTAGTATGTTATTTGATTATATAAATTTGACAAGGTATTGATATATTTTAGGAATGGCCATACACAGGTAGAAAGGAAGACAAAAGTTACATGTATGAGGTAGGTTTTTTGATAGCTGTTAACTTATTGTGAAGAAATCCATCAACACAAACCTGTTTTCATAATATTCATTCTTTTAAGCTCTTTGTGCTAATATGAGATAGTCATGTCCATCTTGTATAATGCGCCGTTATATCTAATTATTTTTACACTACATTCCTCTCCAAAGCTCCACTGGAATGATCCCCATGTAGCCTTTTCAAAACGCTATATAAATTGATTTAGTCTGATGCAGCAATAAGCCATAGTTGCTAAATATACTTTATGATAAAAGTTTTTACACCACAAACTAAGCAGCCTACCCGGTAGTCAAGTAATATCACCTTGTGGTCGTCTACAAAAATATATAGTTATGGTAGTCACGTGGTTAACATTGACTTACATAGAAACGAACATTTAAAATCTTTCTGAGAAATATTTCCTATAGTTATTTGATATAAAGAAATGCCTATTAGACCACATGATTACTACGGCCCCATTATGACACAATAATCAATCACACTTAAGTCCAATATTCATCGTGTTACACATTAATATACAGCGTGCCGTGTAGTGAAAGAAGCGTGTATGACCACAAGACTGTAATTTTATCCAAATAAAAAATACGTAAATTTTAACCTCTTATATCAGCAATAAATACGAGGAATGCAACGCCTATTACGCATCACACATCATGAATAGAACAATAATTGTTTATAAGCTAGTAAGTCTGCGCGATACAGAAACACATGTACATACATTTAGCTGATATTCATACCCGAGCTGCTTCATTGTATGTGCGTAATGTTTCAGTTAGTTTAACTTTTCAAATACATGTAACAGGGAAGATGAATTAATCTATTCAATACAAGAGCGGTTATATTTTACTTGATCTATTTTACTGAAACATTTCAAACTCCTGTATGACAAACAACATATCAAACTTAAGAACATATCATTTTGTTGTGTATCATCTAAAATTCACACTTATGATAATAAATTATGATAATAACTAAACCATTAGAATTGTACATTTCTAGCAAACAAATACATTATTTCTAAATCTTCGATAGATAACAAGATATTTCATAACAAAAGAAGTAATTTAAGTAAGACATTAGCCTCAAATAGAATTGAATTCTCTTCGAAAATTGAAATAATGGACAGTTTTCGGCTACTTATACAGCTTAGTAAGTATACCAGCTCTAGTTGTAATAAGAAACCATGATTGATCCCGTCTATTTTTCAGATTGTTGCAAATAAAAGAAACGGTATCGACGTTGACAAATGGGACTACATTGCACGTGATAGTTACATGCTGGGAATGAAAGTCAATGTCGATTACAACAGGTGTTTTAAAAGTGCAAGAGTTATCAAATGTAACGGGCTTAATGGCAGGCAAGATGCAAACGCCGGCTTAAATACCGGTAATAGTCAAGTGAAACGGAATCAAATATGCTACATGAGATAAAGTGAGTAACTGTCATAAACATTTATCTTCAAAAATGTAAACAATATTTTCTCAATGTTTGTATATTTCATTAATTATTCAATTTTTTATTCATTTGAGATAAATGGCTGATATAATAAGTAATCAATATGTTTTTCCTGTTATATGGCTAGCTATATAGGGTTTATAAAGCCGAAGCCTGTATAAAGGTGATCTAAAGCAAAAGGAATTTCTCGGCCGTATAATCTGTCAGAAGTTATATAACGAATTTTAATACAGCACAATCATGACTAATAATGGCTATTTTATCATGAGGAAATTTATTCATTGTATACGTTTAAAATGATTTTTGTCAAATAAAGATCAAAAGCGATTGTATGGATTGGCATTCTCATTGTCAATAAATATAAATTCTACACGATTTATTTTCAGCAAAAAGAAATTGTATAAATGGATTATAACAGAATGTTAGGCCTGCTTATTTTTTGTGTTATATCTAATATTAAATTGAGGATAACAACCATACCTATGTTTAGAAAAAAAAATGAGAGTAATTTGGTTTACTTTGACTTTTTCATTATAACTATATTGCAAGCCCGTGTTGTTTGCTTAGGATGTGAAGAGTCTTGGGTTCGAATCCCGATCAAAGTGATGTGAATTTTTCTTTCAATACTTTACCAAGACGTGCATAAGAAAAGTATGGTTGAGTTTTTAAAATGTACATAGATGGTAGTAAAATGTTAAACATTCTGGCCAAGCATATTCTAAAGTCATTTTCCACATACAAGGACACCAGTTTTAGGTGGTATATTAAGCAAACACCACTTGTTTTAATAACAGATTCGATCAAGCTTTGTCGTGTTACTTGTTGGAATACATCTCCATTATTGACTGAATGTCTAATAATCACTGAAAATAAATACCTTCTTAAACTTAAGAAAAATAAAACTTTATATTTATTAGACGCCATTTCGGAATTAAAAAAAAAATAAGAACCACAAACTTTTCATTGTACATGAATTGAATTCCTTAATTTTTGTATATCAAAAAGCAAGCGAAGGAAATTTCATTGTAAGAAACAAAGTTATTTTAGAACTTGTAAAACATTGGCTAGCGTCTGAGGTTATATTTTATCAGTTTGGCTATAATCTCGTCTAGTCCAATCAACAATATATACAACTGATTTTAAATTGTAAACAAACATTGATGGTTAGTACTTTAACCCTTTCGCTGCCAGAGGGTTATTGTCTTATTGTTCACCTATTTGCCGGAGGATTTTCTAAGAAATTACTATATTACCAATTAATATAATCATTATTATTTGTTATTAGTATTATAATAATTATATATGTTTCTTAATCTGTTAGTATAATAATAATTATTGTCGATGGTATAATTTTCTTTATATTTATTATCATTATTATTATTATTATTCATTTATTATTATTACTATTATTATTATAGAAACGGCTAAAGCCGTCCATATGGCAAATACGCAGAAAATAACAGGGACGGCTTAAGCCGTCCCTATGGCAGTGAAAGGGTTAATACATAATCAAATAAGACACTTATTATTCATCTTAATAATAAACTGTTCGCTTTATGAAATTTTATCAACTACTCGTACAAACATTTTTTGCTTCAATGAGATATATTATAAAATGGTAGAAATGTAAGGGCATGTCATGCATATACAAATGTATATGTATATTTATTAAACTTAATTATAGTAATATATCTTCTGAAGAAGTTCTCATATCCTCGTCTAATATGTCTCATAAATCAAAACAATTTATCTATACGCGGATGTTAAATAAATTCCTTAGGAACATAAAATTTGTTTCAAAAACATTGTATGCAGGTAAAAATGTGTAATATTATAGAAGAGAGTTTATATATTTTTTGAAAATTTTATACCTGCATTATAAAATTTTGTCTTATCTTATTTATTAAACAATAAAGGTAGCACAGGACTTGTATGACATGTTTTACACAAGGATGACATTACATAGACGGGCATATCAGCACAAAACTCACAAAATCATCGGAATGATGTATGTATTTGCTAGTAAAATGTTTATATTCATGAATTATACAAACTTTTAGAATAAGATAAATATTTTGTTTTATCATTTCTTAAATATTATCTTGAAATATTATTTCATTATTATCCATAATACTTCAAGTGAGCTACATGATTTACGTTATTTTGAAATGTTCTGTGTACGAGACAAACGTAAGTATAGGTTAGAGTGCATATTGGGTGTTCTTCGTAAATAAGAAAGCTAAAAAGGAGCGGAGCTTGCGAAGCGACTGTTTCGGGTTACGTATTTTGCATAGCTTATTCCCGCATTCTGCATAGCTTATTCCCGCATTCTGTCTAGGTAAATCAGACAATATCACGGTGCATATCCATATCGGTACCCTCTTTGCGAAATATTCTCAAACGGTACCCTCTTTGAACATGCACAGGTCATTCTCTGCAAAAAACAAACCAGCGATGGATAACAATGCAGTAAAGTTTCATTGTAATAAGGAAAGGAGGTATGACACGTAGAAAAGATGTATACCACGGAACACTAGAATGTTTTATTTATGTGCTGAATTGTCATGTGCCCGATTTCCATGTACTGCAACTTCACAATAAGCTACAAAAAGTCGACATGTCTTGCCTCGCCCGTCACCTCGACATATTTTTCGGGCTGAAATGAACCTGTGGCTTGTTTATATATGCATCATACATATTTATTATGTTCATATACATGTCATCTTCGGACAAATGGCAGTATATTGTCAAAAATAAAATTTAATGTAAAATTCATAAAACACCCTACTTTCGGTTTTGCAGCGACACGGGCTGTAATATTTACATAAAAAGTAAGAAATATTACATACATACATTGTTGGAATAAAGTGAACTTTTTATTTGGAATCTATAAAATGATACAGGTTCCGTAAGTAATAAAACATGTTTTACTGTTATTTTGCCTGTTTTCATTTCAATGAACCTCTTTTTTTAATTATATGCCGTAGTGACGATATACATGTGCGTGTACGAAAAAAACATGATGCATAAATATTGATTAGTAGGAGTAAACTTCAAGATCTCTGCACATGCGTATATTTCACTTTAGCGCTCTTCGAAACTTAGCTCCGCCCACTTGCGTTTTATAATATAAAACGTCCAGTTTATATAAAATCTGTTCTATTAAGATTTGAAACCTGAAAATTTGAAAAATCCTCGTCGGTGATTGGCTTAAAAAAATTGGCGAGCACTAAATACTGTCTGTGTTTAAATGCAATAGTAAAAAAAAAACATTCGATTTAGAACTATGCTCTACAAGTTATTGCTCTTTGTTCATCTTTACACTGATCCTTGTCCAGGTCATAACTCAAAAACTATAAAAGAAATCAAAAGAAACATTGTAGGTAGATAGATCTCATTAAGTAAAAAGTGCAGTGCATAAGAATCGTTACTCTGCCTTGCTTTATTAGCTCTGGAAGTTTAAGTGATATCAACAAGAAACTTTGCAGGTAAATAGATCTTATTGAGTAGAAATGTAGTGTATAAGAACCGTTACAATGCTTTGCTTAATTTGTTGAGTTCTTGCCCTTTTAAAATTTTACATTGTAAAGTTTGACAGGGCATAACCATGAAACTACAAGAGGTATCAACCAGAAAAATTATAAGTAGATAGATATCATTAAATAGAAGTGCAGTGCAAAGGAATCATAACCCTGTCTTGCCTAATTTTTGAGTTATTGCCCTTTTTTACAATGTGTATTTTGTCCGGGACATAACTCTGAAACTATAAGAGGTATCAACAAGAAACTGTGTATGGTGTTTGTGAATAGTTCTCATTAAGGAGAAGTGCAATGATGCATAAGAGCCATAACTGTGTCTTGCCTAATATAAGAGTTATTACCCTTTTTCATTTTTAAACTGTGAACTTTCTCAGGATCATAACTCTGAAACTACAAAATATATCAACAAGAAGTAGTTTCTCTGTGTCTAAAATCTGTTTGGGGAGAATTACCAGGTTCAACCGGCTCTTGTTTTCTTTCAGGATTTGCGATGCATTAGAATTAGCAGATGCTCATTTTACAATACATGGCAAAAGGTATGTAAACATTTTAAAAGTGCGCAAAAGAGGTGTGCTACGATTCAAAATTAAGTATATTCTTTGAAAAAAAAAACACTTTGAATAAAAAATATTTCGGTTTATAAATGACTTGTTATCTATTATACAACAAGTATTTATAAATATATATACTTGATCGTTTCCCTGAAATATATATTTTTTTATTTCTATTTTTTAACTTTGTATTTATTCATTTATCTTTTTTTGGGGGGGAGGAGGGGGGGGGGGTAAGTTTTACATTACCCACATAGTTTATGACAATGTGTTAACATTGTTACAGATCAGTTAATAACTTTACATGCAACATACGTCATATCCGGATAAAATATTAAAACTTTAATTTTGGTCGAAATGTACATATATTGCGATAAACATGTTCATATAGACGATATAGTTTGCATAATTTAATTCATTACCCATTATTCCTATTCTGAACCACAGAGGTAGTAATACATCAATGTCATATGACGTGTACAATGGAAAAATGACAATTTTTTTATATAAACGGTAAAAAAGGTCTAGATACGTTTTATGTGTAAATCCATTATTACTGAACCTCTAATTAAAACAGTTAAGTGTGCATTTCTTTGCATGACCTTCTGCGTAAGTTATGAAGAAGCCGATATAATTAAGGTATACGCCTGTGATTCGAGATCGTATTTCATAGTTAATTAATGTGCATGTGCATGCATGTACAGCTGTATCTTAAGTTTAAATCTATATATGGAAGCCATAATTCCATAATTACGCTTCTTATTTCCTACATTTGAGTTACAAAGTCTTAATTATGGTTTTTATATTGTAGGATTTCTACACGCCTAATTGCTGCTCCTATATAGGAATTTAAAAGTCCTTGCTTAGAGTTATTTACTCCTTATAAGACTTGTTATCTCCTACGTAGGAGCTTTTTAATATACTTTTGTAAGACTTAGTATTGATAACAGGACGTAATTGATATTATGATGTAATTAATGAATTTTACTACATGCTGCTTTGAAAAAAAATGTAAAAGCAAACATTAAATACAACATCATAAATGTAAACCTATTTAGAATTTCAGAAACTGTTGACGATATGGAAGCCTACACATATTTGAATGATGACGTCATTCAGTTGATTATTAATGATAATGATCCAAGGCTTGAAGCATCACGAAAAATTTTACAAGATATTATGTACAGACGGTTGTTTAAATGTGTCACGCACACACACTGCAAGGTTTTTTACTTGCCAATTTTCATTAGTTCAATACAGATAATTTGTGTATTTATAGATCGCTTACTTTCAATGACAAATACTACTATTTTTTCAGATACAGATGTATTACATATTGACTGCAAAGTGTTTGAAAAAAGTATTTCTTAACTTAAAGCATTTGGGTGCATATGCAAATACAAATCAACACATGTAGTAATATATGTGTTGAGTTATGGAAGCTGTGATAAAAGTTCAGCGAACTTTTTCGTGTTGTTTATTTTTGAAAGCCATGTTCATTCCGAATCTGTATATATTCGTAATTTGTTTCTTAGAGGTTTTTCTAATACAATTTATTTGTGTACATTACCCTTGTAACAATTATTGTAATGTATGTAAGTAAAGCCATATTTAATTACAAAAGGCTTATTGTTAAACACTAAAGTTATACATAGATGGTATTTGTTTTAATTTCACCAAGAATACGTCATCATATCCATTTGTTAAATTAGACAATAATAAATTCTAATACATTAAACTTTTTTAGGATGAAAACTTGAGAGAAATTGATTTAAAAGAGGGTATATGGGAACATCTGAAAGGAATTGCAATGGAAGAAAAGTTCCTCCATTATGACGTGAGTAATTACATATCAAAGACAGGAACTGAATTGGATTTTAGCTCACCTGTCACAACGTGACAAGGTGAGGTTTTGTGACACCGTGTTGTCTGTAGTCCGTCAGTCTGTCCTTTCGTTCGTTAACTTTTTCATTCAAATGACTTCTCCTCCAATACCGCAAGACCAATGTTCTTGAAGATTGCTCTACCAAATTTGTTAAAAAAATAAATTCCTTTAAGAACTCTGGTTGCAAAAAGTTTTGTTACCAAAATCTTAAAAAGTCTCTTGTCGATAATCAGAAGGTGTAGAGCCTTGATAGTTGGTATGTAACATGATCTTGTAGTACCGTAAACAGATGGTTCAAATTATGATCCTAGGATCAAGAGGGGCCCGCCAGGGGGCTCATCAGTTTTTTATAAAGTTATATAAGAAAATCTTTAAAAATCCACAAGGCATAGAGCCTTCAGATATGGTATGTAACATGATCTAGCGGTCCTCTACTAAGACTGTCCAAATTATGCCTCTATGGTCAAAAGGGGTCCCGCCATGGGGATTACTCGATTTTTAAAGAAAGTATTTAAAAAACCAAAAGGCCTACAGCTTTGATATTTGGTATGTATCATCATCCTGTGATCCTTTACAAAAAAGTATGCCCCTAGTATCAAAAGGGACCCTGCCAGGGGGATAATCGGTTTTATATTAAGTTATATGGGCAAAATCTTCTTGTCAAAATCCACAAGGCGTAGAACTTTGATATTCGGTATGTATCCTCTACAAAGATTATTCAAATTATGCCCCTAGGATTATAAGGGGCACTGCCAGGGTGCTTATCGATTTAAAAGAAAAAAATATTAAAAATCTTCTTGTCAAAAATCACAAGGTCTAAAGCTTTGATAATTTGTATGTAACATCATTAAGTGGCCCTTTATAAACATCTTTTAAAATTATGCCCCAAAAGGGTAAAAGGGGCCCCTTTCCCGGGGGGGCTTCTTTTTTTTTAGGGAAAGTTATTTTAAGGGAAAAATTCTTTAAAAATCTCCATGTCAAAATCCACTAGGCGTTGAGCCTTAATATTTGATATGTAATACAAAGAATTGTTCAAATTATGTCCTAAGGATCAAAAGGGGCCCGCCAGGGGTTCATCATTTTTATATTAAGTTATATAGGGAAAATCTTCTTGTAAAAATTCACAAGGCATAGAGCCATGATATTTGGTATGTAACATGAGCTTGTGCTCCTCTACAAAGATTTTTCTAATAATGACAATATGATGAACAGGGGCCCCGTCAGGGGGCTTTTTGATTGTTAGTTCACCTGTCCCAGAGTGACAAGGTGAGCTTTTGTGACATTATATTGTCTGCCATCTGTCGTCTGATTCTTCTATTTTACTGTTTCAATGCCAGAAAGTATTATTGTGAAAGTTGCTTGTATTTAAAGGTTTCCAATGACAAACCAACAATGGTGATAATTGAAAACCTGATTTCCTGGCGTTGCCAATGTTTCTTGTTAATCATTATAGCTCCATGTTCTTTTCTTTTTAGCAGATTAATCTTTCAAATATCTTTGTCACTCAGACCGTATTCAATTAAACAGTGTAATTTCAAATCTTCGTATGAATAGTTTGTAGTCTTTGTTATTCTCTAACAATTTTACACATTCGCCACAAAATATTGTGACATACATTTTTGTGATGTTATTGATGCGTTTAACTCGATTCAAAAAGATATTGTCTACATATATATCTCAACCAGACTAAGTGCACATTTGAAACTAAGTCATATAGGTTCAAAAACTAAGTTACCTGATCAGATCTTGGGGAAACCTTTGTTTAAATGAGATCATCTTTTACCCAGTTCAATTGAAACTTTTGTCTTCACAAACTCTAAATACAGGTTTTCACCCATGACTCATTTGAGCAACCAAGAGCCCAAGGGCACTCTTGTTAACTATTCGCAAAGAATACAGCTTTATTGAACATTCATTTATTTATAGTGTGGTCGGTAAGTGTTACCGTTTTCTTTAGTATTGACAAAAGAAAACAAAAAAAAAAACAGGTTGACTTTGTACCCAAAACATGAGTTGCCATGCTCTTAATGTAGAATGGTATATATATCGTTGCTTATAGCGATTTCTAAGCAAAATATGTTCCCTGAATGAAAGCATACTATGTAATTTTTAATATACGATGGAACATATTCTTATTCCTTAACACGCGTACAAAGTTGCAGATTCTTATATCTTCGTCAAAAATAGTATTATCGAAATACTCATTTTAAAGGAGATTAAACACTTAAGAATGTAAGAAAATTATTCATACTTAACTCCTAACCCGCTTGATTTGTGTTTTGAATTTTCAAACCTTTGAGTTTGGAACAGTTCATTCAAGTTTAAAGGAAGTTCAATGCCACAATAACAACAGTAAAGATCGTGATAAGACTGCACATCGCAAGCTTGTATAGTCTTAAGAGTGGTGGCAGAGACTTAACACTTACGTTTCTAGTAAAAGAGGTGTTAATTATCCTTTGATGATTTAATTTTAATCACACTAACTTAACGAAAGATTATCCTAAATATGCATGTTAACCTTCCTTTATATATATAAAAAGTTCATTTTCCATAATTTTGTATGAACCATTTTCTCTGCATGTATCTAAATATGTATGTAAAATTTATCCTTGATATGTTTATAACATTTTCACAAGATATTCATGCAGCGTTTTTTCTGGATATGTTTCTAACATTTACCCAAAATATTTTTGTAAATAAATGCTTAACCTAGTATTAGGACCATTTCAACAACTTACGTTGTGAATACAGATTGTGAAGTTTAACTATGGTATGGAAAATAAGAACCCCTTGGAAAAAGTACGATTTTATACAAAAGACCAATTGGATGTGCCAATAAGATTGGCTAAAGACCAAGTAAGTATCTATCGTGCGAATATTTTTAAGCCTTTTAAGATTTGCATTTAGGCTCTGAACAAATGGATCATGAAATTAAAGTCTGAGGTTGAAATGTTTTAAGATGCTTTGAATCCAAATACAAGCACCTCGCTAGTCTCTAATTACCATGAATGGGGACTTACCTTCAACACATGTACAAATTTATCAATTCGAATATGTTATCTTAATGTTTTGAATAAAAACTTAATAAAGGATTCTATTTTAAACAAAATCTTATTTGAATAAATAATAAAATTCAGTTCTAAAAATGTTTGATCATGCTAATTATAAACATATCATGCAGGTTTCCTACGTACTGCCGGACGTTTTTCAAGAGTGCAGGGATACGCCTATACTGTTAATATTAAGAACGAAGGAAGAGGAAGAGACATTGTCGAAATATATACTAAAGCATTTGGAATTGGTGCAG